TCAGATCTGAATTTATTTATTTCAGATCAAGATAAAAATTTCAAAAATTTCAGATCTGAAAATTGGATCTGAAATAGAAAATTTCAGAACTGAAATAAACTTGAAAAACTAAATTTCAGATCTGAAATTAGATCTGAGAAGCCTTTTGTTGATTATAATTTATGCATTTCAAGAGATCATTTGAGTTTTCATTTTTGACGTTTCTGCAATACACAATTATATTTCACTTAACTAGCGGTAAAAAAAACTTCCGAGTAATTTCACGAATTTTTTTTTCTTTCGAAGTAAATTTCTTGTTCAATTCTGTTAAAATCTTTTCAAAAATTGCTCGAACACCTATCAAGTTTTTTGTTCTAATGCGCTACTTAAGCGTTTGCAATTTTTTTCCCATGCTTGAGGATACATTTTATGGCAGTTTCACCTCTGAGACTTTGATGAGAACCTACTAGTAGCTAGCAGAAGCTACCAAATACTAAAAAATCAACAATAGCAAAAAGGGTGTCACAGTCATTGATTTTTCAGATCTGAAATAACCAAAAAAAAATTTCAGATCTGAAATAGATTTTTTCAGATCTGAAATAACCCATTCCTAAAGTATCCAAGCGTTATTTTAAAATTTCATAACCCATTTCAGATCTGAAACTTAGATCTAAAAAAGGTTATTTCAGATTTGAATTAGAATTTTTACTAGGCATGGGTGAATCACTAGTACACTTCTAGTACACATCGTTGAAGTACGCTCTGTTTCTTGTACAGGCCTAAAAAAAAACCGGCTTCGTTCTATTAAAACAAAAACAAAAAGCACTGCGCTCACTAATTTTAACAATACACTTAAAACAAGTGTTGTGGATGAATGGTTGTGGGTTGAAAATTTTAAACATTACATCCCCGCATCAAGATAATTTTTTTTCTGACCTGAAATACTTTTTAAATGTTTAAATAAAGCAGCGATTTTCTTAAAATTTTTAAACTCTCATCCTAATTTTTATCAAAACTTAGCTAAATGTAGGCTATTTTTAGCTAGAAAAAAATCTCTTGGTGGGGATCGAACCCCAGACTTTTTTTTTATAGGGGGTTGTGCTAACCACTTTGCTACAACCCTTGATGCATATTCATAATTTTAGCAAAATAACTCTTGTTATAACAAGTTTTAGTTTGCATTGAATTGCTATTGTTATCGTGTATACTCGAAGCATGTTTATCTCATTGCGGTTGAGCAGTGAATTGGTTTCTGGTTATTTCTTTCCAGAAACTGTTAATTCTAAACTAGAAAAGAAATAGATCACAGAAATTGCGATAATACTAGGCTGGATAATCTATATAATGTGTCTTTCAAGAAAAACTGCCTCCGTTGGGTAATGGTCGGTATCTGGTTACTAGAGATTACTCGGCTGCACTTGTCATTCTGATTTTGATTCTCCTTACGAATCCGAAAACTGGCAAAAATGGTTAAAACGGATTTTTCTTGAGGCAATGTTTCTCGGGCTATACAAGTTAAACTCGATGTTTTTCATTAAAATTTCGCTGAATTTTGCAGAAATTTATATGGAAACAAAGTGAATCTAAAATTTTCTTTAAAAAAAGTTTAAAAATATCAAAATCAGTGGTTATGCAGGGGGTTATGTCCAAAGATATTTCTGATACAATTGGATTTTTGAGAAACAAAGGTTTAAAGTGATTAGCGGACGTTTATCAATTTTATTCAATGGTTGTTCCGAAGCAGTTTTTCCAAAAGTTTTTGAAAAATGCCGAGGTGCTGCCATGTTATACTGATGAAAATAGTCAGTTGCCGGAACGCTACAGACCGACTAAGTTCTAAATGCAAGGTTTTTTGAGAAAATTTTTTAGCAGGCAATATTTTTCGTTCGGAACTATAGGGATTTTAGTATCAAAAAAGTTGCAGCGATGAATCGGTAGACTACGCCAAACTCATTTTCTTAATTGCTGATAACGTCTTTTTGCTGATTTTTAATTTTTTAAGGAAGATAAATAACTCAGTAATGCATGAGTTGCTCATTCTCAAAAAGGAAAAAATGGAAAAAATGTAACATTAAGAAACTTCTAAAAAACTATTTACCAGACCAAAAATAATTTGTTGCTGCTAATAATTAAATATCTTACATGCAACTTTTGACATAAGATGTTACGCAAGGATCAGTACTAGAGCCGCTACTGTTGCTCATCTTCATAAATGATCTTCTTTTAGTTTGTCAAAAAAAACCAGTCATTTACGAGGATGATTCCAAATTCTGTTTTTCAAGTAAGATCAGAAAAACTATATTAAAAAAGAAAACAAAGGGTAGAAAATTAGATTGAGTGCACTGGTTTGACAGTCAACCTGAAAAAAAAAATGTTGAAAAGAGCTGCGGCAGAATTGTGTAAATGATAAATGATTTCAGTTGAACATTTCGTTCGAGCGATCAAGCTTCCATTTAATTCTAAAGATTCGAAATTGACAACAAACTAAGTTTCAAGTTGCATATTGATGAAGTTGTTAAATAATGGTCTTCTATCATTTTCTTCAAATTTCGTGACGTTTTTTCGATATAAAATTTTTTGAGTTTTAAGAAGTCATATGCCCAATCCATAATGCGATGTGGCTTCCTATTTACGGAAATAATTACAATTCTAACCTTCATTCACTAGTAAAACATCAAATGTGTTATACAAGCCAATTTCTTCAAATAAAAATTTGAAACAAAAACTAAAAACAAAACTGACAATGAAACCTATACTGCTTTCAAAATAAATCTGCGCGTTGTTTTCAAAAAAAATATGGAGAGTTTTCGATAATCAAACAAAAAAGATTTTAAATTAGGCGAATCTACAAAAACTTCCACAAACCCTCAGCGAGGCGTAATATTTAGAAACAAATATAGGATATAAATCAAGGGCCGTGAACTTCTCTCTTCAATCTAGGTTAACTTAGCTTACATTTTTGTTGGTTAAATTTGGCGTGCAAAACAACTTACTCCCTCAATTATTTTTATAATTGGCAAAAAAGTAAGCGGACTTTGTTTAAATATATTTTTTGATAATGAGTATTTATTCCAACTGCTCCTTAACTGATGCTCACTCTGCGTCTCAATGAAACTGCTCTTTAAGTTTTCGAGGTGACCCACTCGATGAGATGAAACTTTTTGTGGGTCAAGCTCCAGGCATTGCTAATAGTATTTATTTGCTGTTGTAAGGTAGCTGGCAAAACCAAACTTAAACTTTAACAACTGCATCTTCTTTAGTTTTTGTAAAAATGCTTAAAATTTGTCCAAATTTTCATTGTCAGATTTGAGCTAAAGCGCAGTTTTTCTACTGCTTTCCATTGGTTTGAAAAATTGTAACGGAAGCTTTATATTCTAAGACGCATCGCTATTTCATTGGAGATTCTTGTTAGAAAGAATGTTCTACAATACCAGCAGTGGTACAAGTGTGATAGAGATGTCCCGGTTAGAACCAAGTGTGAAAGAATAATCTTAAATTACTTTAATTTTGTCAAAAATTGCAATTAAGTAACTCAAAATGTGCATGTCGGTCGCTTTAAAACTTTTTCCCAAACGTAATTAATCTGCTTCATTCGAGCAAACTTATTTGATACTTAAATTACATCATAAAAGAACAAAAATGAACCAACTCAAAGAAAATGGAATATTTATTATCGGTGTAATTTTTAGTTCTGTCAAATTTTGCGGATAAAAAAATTGAAATAATAAATTTCAACAAAAATTTGTAATACCCCATTTAAGATATCAACTCTCTGAGTTCAATCCTAAAAGATATTTTACCTCTTTTGTAAAGTTCTGGGGGTTTAAAAATTGCCAAATTGTTCATGTTCTGGACTAAATTATGCGTGCTTTGAAGGGTTTATTCGTAAGGCTGAGAGCCTAACGCAATTTATTTATGCGTGGCAAATTATCCCGCACAACAAAATTTTTACAATTTGAATTGACGCTAGCTAATTGGTCGTAATAATTTCGTACGACTCGTAATTTTACACTTAGATATTGCTCAAATATTATAGGTTTTCAATATTTTTCCCCAAAAACTATTCGATATGAAATAAGGGACAGTCGAACATTTGCCCTGACATACGAGCAGTCTTGTTCTTGCGTTTAAAATGAAATTTTGCACAAATCTTACAAAATGAACGCATCTCTTGAAATAATCTTGCAAAATGAATGCCAAGTCTTGGTTAACTTTTGCGTTTGGAATGCAGATTTTAAAAGAATTTAATGAACAAGTTGTTACTTTATTAGTGAAAAGAGAGAAACATGCCTACGGTTACAAATAATCCCTAATAGATTGAAAACAATGTTAGTTTGGAAGAACTGCTTCTTACGGCTATCAGAAAAAAAGTTCTTTTTCCCCTTCCTCCTTCCACCTGCTATATTGTACTCATTTTCGTTTTTTTTTTCATTCAGAGGATATTGTACTTGTAAATAGTCGATTATTTCAAGAACAGATTAAATGGCGAAAACCGGTTTAAATTGATGTGCCTAGTTGTGTTAGAAACGCCCAATCACCATGACTGCCCCAATGACCTCGCAATGCAAATCTGTCGCCGAAAAACTTCGAAAAATGCTCTTTTATTGAGCATAAAAGAGTTCTTGATGTTATTATTATGTTTTTTTACCATATAAATATTACAAATATTACCATATAAGGTATATTGAGAATTTTTCCATATCAAACTTTACTCAGATGTTTCTACGAAGTAAATTGAAATCAATTGTTTTTTTTTGCTTGTTGAAGACTATAAACGACTTCACGGAATCTGAATTACAAAGTTTTATTGAACAACTCTATTTTAAAGCAAATACGTCAAAAAAGTTATGGTTTTGGAAACGCTTCTTGTGTCACTTCTTGTAGCAGCTTTACAAGAGAACAGTTAATAAATTAAGAATAAACTAGAAAAACTAATATGATACAGCTTTGTTATTTAGCAGTTTATGTAACTATTTCTATAAAATGGACGTTTTTCATGCGTGATTCAAATTCTGAATAGTTTACAGGAAATTGGGGTCCTCGGAGGGGTCTGGGTCTCTATCTAATTCTTTATCTGCGATCCACTTCTGCACTTCCACGGCCACATCCCGCACACTTCTCAAAATGACCTTAAGTTGAACCAGAGTTGTCACAAATGACAAGCCTCCGGCAGCTGCTGGTCCCACAATGGGCACCGCCAAGGCCATGAATCCTTCAATCGATTCAGACACGGCAATTAGACTTAAGCTTTTCAGTAATGTAATCAAAAGGTCATACGACAAGTTCTTTGCGCTGGACCAATGAGAGTCCTCCCGAACCAATGAAATTGCTCTGTTTTTGGTTGAAAGTAGCTCAGTTAGCTTTGTCTCGATGATTTCTGGTTCTTTGTTTGCCTTCAACTCTATTTCAGCTATAGAAGTTTTGGTTAAACCGAACTTTTGTAAATAGAGATTGATTTCATTGTATATTAGCTTCGCATCCAGCAAAGCTCCTGCTATTGGAATAGGCTGGGCTCCACCAGCTGCTGAGGCCGTTGCAACAATTTTTATTCGTTTGCTCAACTCAATATACATTTCTTGTACCATTTGGGGTCCACGGATTTTGATTGAGAAGAGAAACGCAGTAGTTTTTGTTTCAGAAGCAAACCCACGCTTACAAATGGTTTCAACCAATAGAACCATGTCGAAGTGCTGCATCGATTCGAGGGGCTCTTCAACATTCACAAGGAACACTTTGTGGAGTTGTGGGTCAAAACAATTTTTCTGGAGTTGTTTCTCAAGGAGTTTCCGAATTTCAGCAACTGCATCGTCTTCACTGATTTTAGGTTTCTTCTTTTTCACTAACTTTGCTACCGTTTCATCAACATGGGTGCGCACCAGGTAGAACAATTTACCTCTCGCAGCCAATTCTGCGGCGACAAAAAACTCACTGTCTCCGAGCATTTCTTTGGTGACTATGATGTACAAATCGTACTCGTGCTCATCCAGTTCAATGTCTTTGAAGTAAGTCTCCCGTTTGAACTTGTCTCCGTCGATTCCAGGAAGGTCCCAGAAAACAAAATTGGGGAAATCTGGATTTTCAATTTTCTGTACTTTCATCGTGGTTGGTCCCAAAACTCCAACTTCCGCTATTTCTTTTCCAATAAGGGCATTAATAAAGGAAGATTTACCTTGTCGAGATGGTCCGATGATTGCGATGTTGATGGTTTCTTCTTTCCATCTATTCAGGTCTGCCAACTGGGCCTCATTTATCCGAGAAGGTTCACCGTTCTGCGCAACTGTCACGTTATTGTAATGTAAAGTTTCTTGATTCAGCTGTGCAGTATCTATGTTCAGATCATTCGGTAAAGTATCAGAAGCCATTTCTTCTCTTAAAATTAAGAATTGTAGCATCAACTTCTGGCAGCTTCTGATGAAAGAATAAAATGCGTTTGCTCACGTTTCGTATATTTAGTCACAAAACATACCACTATTTTTGGTAATTGAGTAATTATTACGTCAATAAAGCGTTGTGTTTTTGGTGGCCGGCAAAAAATGCGACAGCCGTCAAGGTGAAAACCGTTTTGTGATGGGACTTTCAGACGACAAAGAACCTTTCTGTAAAATTTGCAACGCAAAATGATTGCTTTAACACGCGAAATACATATCTGCATAAGACAAAACGCAAAATCATCGTTTTAAAAGACATTTCTGAGAAAAAAAACGGAAATTTTAACAATTAAACACGCATCAACCCTTGTTTCGGAGTGGAGTTCAATTGAGACATTTCGACTGTTTTTGACGATTATACACTTAATTTTTGATGCTGCCCTAAAGTCCTGTTGCCATATTTGCCTTGCATCTTGTTTTTTATATGAAAACAATCATCACAAACTTCCGTTTTTGTTCGCAATGAAATGAACGAAACAGTGAAAGGTAGTTTTTTTATTCCACAAAATTTGTTTTTGTATGCAGCAAGCACTACTCGCTTACGTAGCAGTATTTAGATAACGGCGTATTCATAATTGTCAGCAAGCAGACAAATACATGTTAACCAGTCAGAAACGAGACAGGAAAGAAACAGATAATTATTAATTTTTTATTCCGTAAGTTTGCTTTGTTATCTCGATTCTGATTGGTTAACATAGTTTTAGTCTGCTTAATGTTAAATAAGAAAACACGGTTACCTAAATACAGACTGCACTACCCGTATCAAACAAAGGCTGCTAAACTGAATAAAAGTTTCATTAACAATTATAAGAAAATATGGGTCCTTTTACTTATGTTAACTAAGTATCTTAAATTTGCGATTTTGTAATACTCAATATACAAATGCTGAGAGCAACATACTGATAGCACTGGTTAACTTAATCACTTTATTGGGAAGACGACTTCTAACAGGGCCGAATTTTGAGCAAGGATGAAGTTGATCATTTTTTTCCCTAGAGCTATTTTCTGTGTTTTTTTTGCTAATCTGGGTAAGGATGAATTCCCATAGGTTCCAATATTCATAGCTCACAAAATAAAAAATCAGTCGCATAAGTTAAAAAATTTATCTTCTTGAATTCTGATTGGTTGAAATTTGACCCAACAAATTTATGGATTGATTGCTTACTGTTCAACCAGCATAAACTCAAGCTGCAGAATAATGACCGCCGCAGCCGCGCCCACGTGTTGCGAGCTTGCCACCAAAGAGGAGGACTCTATACGAAACTTAGAGACTCGGCTAATTTAGTCTGTTGACCAATTGAAATGGTTTGGGACTTATGCGACTTTTGGGACTTTTTATTTTGGAACCTAGGGGACGAATTTTTCATTTCGGAACCTATGAATACGCAGCTGGGTAAGACTCTGTAGCGTATTTGAGATAATTTTGAGTAGTTCACCAAACATTCTTCATTTTGCCAATTCGGTTTATTTAAATTTCGACCTAAATTCTGAAGAAAACATTTTGAGATGGTTCAGAAGTCTGATTGGCTAACTTCAGCCAATCAGATTGAAGCAGAATAGTTTCAGTTCAAAATGTTGAAATTTGATTTTAGGACAGAACTAGTAAAAATACCCCATAAAATTTTGAAATTTTTTTGATAAATTATCTGATTTTGTTTTTAAATTTAAATTTAGTAATAAGTAGTTTAATCATAAACCTTTTTGATTTAAATTTTTTCTAAATTTTTAAAACTACATTCAATTCGTAATGTGTTGTTTAAGCTCTTGTAAAAAAAAACTGTGTATTAAGGTTTGGCGGCTACCGCAATTGTCTGAAAAACAAAAAATACGGGGATCAATTTGTTCAAGACTTCGTTATTGGCTGAAAAAAGGCTAAACACTTAGAAAGATTTCGACCCAAAACGAATTTTTAAGAAAAAACTCAAAGAAAATTTGTTCTTAATAAGTTATCTGATAATAAACCTTCTTACTGTTCTCTATGCAAAAGTCCACGTGGAAGATAATTACATAAGTTACAAAAAATGCAAAAAGTTACGCCACAAACTTTTGGATCAGTCAACCTTGCCTCAAATCAGTTCCAGAGATTTTGAAGCAGAATTTACTCGCGGCGTGCGATATACTCAGAATTGAGAAATGAAAACATAAAAATTTTATGCTCAAATAACAAATTGGCGTAGGTGTTAAAAATTGTGACAAAAATTGTTATTTAGAAAGGCAGAACTTGTTATGAAAAACACTACAATGTAAAAGTTTTTAAAGAGGGCAACAGGAAACAAGTTACGTTTTGTTTTTTTTCTGTCAATATCACACTAATGACAAAATTAGAAAAATAAAAATGAAAAATTTTTTTAATCTGCAAAAATTGAGATTTTGTGACTGTGACAAATATCGACAAGCTTTGTCAACATAGCTATAAAACCGAACCAATCATTTTATTGATCAGAAAATGTTAATGAAACTTAAATGTATCAGAATGTAGCTTGTTAACTTTACTCACTATTTGAACACACAGATAGATTTTGTAGACCTGGATCATGCCAATTTTCATAACACTAACTTAAAAAATGCTCAGAACTGGATTCGTGTCGGATAAACGAAGTTCAAGTAGCAAAACTGAAGAAGTGGACAGGGAAAATTGTTAACGCTATTGTTAAGTAGAAAGTTGGAGAGAAGAAAACCGAGTTTTACAAACTTTGAAGCAATTATGAGCTTGAGGCTTTAATCCGATGCACTCATAAGGTAATTTTTACTGAGAGTAGAATTCATGCTGCAGTTTTGTTCCAGGAGCAAAACAACGCTTGCAAATTTATTCCACAAAAAAGTCAGCTCGACATTTTTGCAATGACTTGAAGCAACCTTTGAATTAGTTATGAAGTATACGTGCCTAATCCGGTAATCTCTAACAGCTGCTGGTTAGGTTTTATATAACACTCTGATTCATTTGATTCATTTGATGCTAACCTTAAATAGTGTGCGAAACGCGGCCGGCCTTTGAAGTCCAGGAATATACTGCCGCTAAAAAGTCCAGACAGGGACACAAAACTATCCCAGGATTCGGATTTCTTGCTAAGTTGCTGCTAGGCTAACTTTATGTGAACTTTTTCTCACTCATAGTCGCCATTGCCAAAGAATTGCAAACAACCAATAGAATGTTTCGTAACTTTTCTTTTAAAAATTTCCGAAAAAAAAAGATTTTTTTCAAGATGAGATGATAAATACGACAATGAAAAAACGCTTTTTTTTGTGCCAACAAAAATATTGTTTTGTGAATACAGTAAAAACAAAAAAAATCTTCAATCAGAAAACGAAGAGCGAACATTTAGTTTCGTCCATTCTTGGGAAAACAATATGAGGTTACGAGGCCAAACTGTGCATTTTGTGAACTGTAAGCGGGTTCCGCAACAGGCTAAAACCAGAATAGCGGCAAAACCTGCAACATTGCTGCTTTTCGTTGATCTTCTTTGCTGTTTTGGATTCCACATACAAATAGCTTAGAAACTGTATTGCTCAAAGTCGCTCCAAAAACAAGCAAATTTGCGGAATCCGTAACAAAGTTGTGGAATCCGCAACAAAAATTGCGGAATCCTAAACAGTTTGTGGATGCCATTAACAAATAAAAGTATTCGTATTTAATAAACTTAAGTGGTCGTGGGATCGGCAACTGTAAATGAAATCCACAAACTGTAAGCGGAATCTTCAAATTCTAAGAGGGATCCGCAAATTATAACCGAAATCCGCATAAATTTGCGGAATCCACTTACAATTGCAGAATCCGCTCACATTTTCGGAATCCGGAATAATTACCATAATTGCTCGTTGCGGAATCCGCAAAAAAAGTAATGTGCTGACAAAATTTACGTTACAGGTACTTGTAGGTGGAATCATCCACGGAAATTGTGTAAGTAGAACCCACTTGTATTTTGGAAAAAGTTTAAAGACAATTGTGCGCCTATCCAGTGAACAGTTGGGCCTCCTAATGAAGGTTGGGTCTGAAAAACAAATGTTAGGATTTTTTAAGAACAATCAGAGATGTCTTTTAGAAACAGACGTTTTTTAGAAATTCAAGTTACGGTAGAAACAGCTTTCCCGAGCTTGCTGTGAGGTTGATGATGTAGCTCTGGAAACCAAACACTCAGCGCCATTGTTATTTGTCACACTTCGACAACGGCTGTAACAAAAAACTCATTTCATTTGTAATCATATTTTATTTCGAACTAATTTGACTGCAATTTGAGCTTACTTATCCGGTTGTTTGTTTTTTCGAACATTGATTTTTTTCTGAGAGCACTGCTTTTGTTTTTGTTTTTATCAACACGCCTTAATGTAAAGCGCATTGATATTGTTCTGATTGCTTTTCCTACAACTTGATCCTATGATTGTCTGGAAAACTTGTTATCATACAACTTTCAAAAATATATAAGAAACTGCGTCAAAGACGTTCAAAGCAATTTTGCTGTCATTTTCAAGATTTGATTTTTTTTCAGATCGTCAAAGAAACTTCATTTTGGATGATAAAGTACTTACAGCTTTACTAGCTTGCAGATTTTGCGTTACTACCTTGCAGAATTTACTAGCTTGCAGTTTTACTAGCTAAATGGGTTGACCTCCTACCAAAAGAAACTGCCTATCGTACAATTTTTTGTTTTTCATACAATTTTCAAACAAATTTTAATAACTGTTTTGAGAGTTTTAAATGAACATCTTATCTTTTGGACTGCTTTGAAGATTTTTGACTGTTAAAGAAAACGGTTTCACCATTTTATTGATAAAATGCTTATTATACTGTTTTTCGATCGCAAACTCACTTTTGTGCTCAAACAAAAATACTTCCAAGCTAAATTTTTTATAGGGCCGTCGAAGCTAAATTTTCATAGATATTAAGAAAAATTATATTGAAGTGTTTTCTGTAGCCTTAATTGGTGCTTTTTGATTTT